CTGCTCCTGCCCTGTTCAGGGCAGAGCTGCGCTCCACTGAGTTGCAGAGCAATGAGGCCATGAGGAAATCTGGCAAATCACCTTACTGTGAACTGCAAAGCACTGCCAGCTGGGACAGGCACTCACCATCTCGGCGATAGCTGCGTTTGAGTGCTTGGCCACCATAAAAATCATCTCCAGGGCCTCTGCAACGAGAAGAGAAAGGGAGGAGGGTTAAACTCTTGCTAGAGAGCTGTGGGAGAAAACCCCGGAGTCTCTCCCTCATGGGGGAGCCACACGTGTGGTGGCTGCTGCCCTCCCCTGGACACAACCTGAATGGTCCTGAACGCTGCACAAGCGTCTGGGTCCGGCCAGAGCGTGGGGTGGCACGGTCGGGTCCCGGGGGGACAGCCAGCCCGCTCGTTTATCACTCCATCCCAGCAGGACTGGGAGCTTGCTGTGATCCGCAGGGGTCCGATAGCTCCCCCGGTCACTGCAGGTCTCTCCAGGGGATGCTTGGGAGGGATCATCCTTATCCTGAAACACCACCCACCTTCCCCGCTGACCTCCACAGACCCTGAAAGGGCAGATTAATCCCTCTCTCTGCGATAAAAGGGTCAGACTGAGAGGTTTATCCAAGGGCACAGGGCAGCTGGTGAGAGAATCCAGGTATCCTGATGCCTGTGTACATTAGGGGTTGTTATTTCCCTTACAAACCCACCCTGCCGCTCCCCGCACTGGGGAGAGCCAGATGGAGCCCTTACTCTCTGCATCGTCCCGGTCTGGGGACTCGGGTGGTAGTTTTTGGACATAATCTTTCAGGAGGAGTTCGTAGCGTGGGATCCTCTGCACAGGTTCCAGCATGTGGTGCTGCAGCGTTAAGTTAGCACAGACCTTCCTCTTCTGGGGAGACACACCATGCGTAAAGAGAAGCAGTGACCAAGGCAGCTCCCACCCTCTGCTGATTCCCCTTGCGGGCAGATTTCGGGGAGCATTGCGGTCCCCCACTCTGCTGTGGCCCATTACCTGGATGTCAGCAATGAGCTCCTGAAAGGGCGGGGATTTCTCCGACCAGAAGGTGATGAGCTCCACGGCCTTGTCGAAGTTCTTTACATATTCACCATACATCTTGAGGAACGGGGCAAGCTTCTGGATCACATCCCCGATCCGTGGGTTGCAGCTCCTGTGGAAGGGAACCGCAGACCGGCAGCTTCCTCAGTCCAGTGGGGCAGACAGACAGCGAGGGATAAAGCGAAGGGGTGTCTTGGGCATGGTGGAGGACAGAGGTTTACAGCTGGGACCTGCTACATCCCCATACAACTTCCTGCTCTCCAGAATGAGAACGTGTCCAGCTTGCAGCCAGCCTGGGCCCTTCATATCTGGGCACACCCCTAAAGCACCTGAGATGTCCCCCCCCCGTTTTCAGAAATACCCTGATGTGGGCTGGAGTGTTTTCAGGAAGTGCTTTCTGGCACAAAGACATCTGGAGCAAAACAGGCTGAGCTCTCTGGTCCTGGTGGGAGATCAAATTCATCACGGCTCCCCCATTCTGGCAACGCAGCCCGGGCGTCCTGCCCTTCCCTCCCGCAGCTCACCAATCCTCCATGCGCTTCTGCAGCTCTGGCAGGAAGAACTTGGCGTGGAACTGGTAGATGGAGGAGATGTTGGAGAAGATCATTTTCACCACCTCCTCCGGGACTGTCTTCC